TATACCAATATAACCAAGTACGATCGCACTGTCCTAAACATGAGATAAATACATATACAAAAAAACCATAGTATGATACATGTCTTTTGAATAAAAACTTTACTCAAGCCCATTTTCGCCTAACCATTTGCAGAACTACAGTTCACAACTTTAAAATATCAAGATTTAGCGGCCTGCTCGTTAGCCTAGTAGTTTTACGTAGACTGAGCATTAATAGAATTCTGTGTTTGTACATACATACACCCACACACCATGATATGACTTAAATGATAACAAGTAGGGCATGTTGCCTTAGCACAACTTGAGCTTTCCTCATAATATAATGAGTTGGCACATGCATGTTTATGCCAGGATTTAGTCCAAATCATAATAGAATAGCAATATTTATGACTTAGGCCTACAAATTAAAGTGATTGAATAATTTTAAAATTCAGAATAATTCCCTTACAATGCGCTAAATAATAGAAGCTCATATAATCAACGAACCGTAAACGAAGTCGATAATAAATATTTCATCTTTATCAACACTACACTGACAAATCCAATCGACAAACCTGAAATTAAACATACTGATTTCACAAATTCAAAAGTACTTAATAATAGTATATTTTTTGTCATAAATTTACTAAAGCTGTGTCCACACTATTACGGTTTATGTGACATTTATGTGTAATTTGTCCATATATGGGCATGCCGATGTCATACCAGTAATCAAATCCGGCTCAGGAGGGAAAACACTCACATGTTGTTCAACTGATTTTCTAAGGCACAGTTTGACGAAAAAAAAACTCAGATTCAGATTTTTGAATATTTAAAAACTGGGAGAAAAAGGGGCGTAATCACAAATTGTATAAACCCTATTAATTATACAATTGCGAGTAGAGTTTTTGATAATCATTGTAAATTACTTTTAACGATGGCATGGAAAGAACGAAATGAAATATATAATACTTTTCTATTGCAAGACTAATATGTCTGGTTTTTTTTTTTAGACTAATGTTATTGATTTAAATTTACAATATTTACTCCTTTATATGTATATATGCATGTATGTGTTGTGCATGTATGTGTATATGTATGTGTGTATGAGTAAATATGTATATGGGTGTGTGTGTGTATGCATGTATGTATTGTGTGTATGTATATATGTGTGTATATATATATATACATATATATATATGCATGTATGTATTGTGTGTGTATGTATATATGTGTGTATATGTGCCGGTATATATATGCAGACGGAGACTAAATGGCCTCTGGTGGAGAAGCTAAACTGGGACAATATTGTTCATATTGTGAGACGTGTTTTTGTAGTCGTTCAATCTGATACCGCCACCAATCGTCACTACCCCAAATATCTAGAAAAAAAAACTGTTTGGTTTTGGAAGTCCCCATAATGGGTCACATGTATTTTCATAAATGACTAATAAAATATCAAAATACAAAATTATTGTGGTACTTAACATTCATAGTACTTACCAAATGAAATGAAAAAAAACACATAGTTTCTGTTCCGTAAAACAGCTTTTATTGATTGTAAATAGTTCTCATTTTTTCCTGCCTTGATGACATTCATCCTCGACCTACTTGGCGGCAGTGGTGGCTTGGCTTCAAACACTAAAGAAGAAAACAAAGGTTGAAAAGTATTGCATTAATATGTTATTTGATTATTTCTCGCGCTTGACATCATGTAGGTCTATGAACTTAGGCTATGCATCATATAGTAGATTTAGGACATTTAAGAAAAAAGTCCTCAATTCGTTTATCAATAGGCACATTTGAGCATAAACAATAGATGAGTGAATAATAAAAAGATAGTAATAGTTATAAAGCATAAAATGGAGTAGGTTATATACAATAGGAATAATTAAGTTCCATTTGAAAAACGAGATATTGAAGAGTAGGCCTATATATGAAGCAATCTTTCCAATAGCCTACATGGTTAAACGTCTGTTCGTAATTCATTTCATTTTATTTATTCTTCTCAATACATTATATATCTCGCTATAAATCGACACCGCTCTAATTTAAAATCACTTTTCCAACTAACACTCTTCACTCTTTTAACACGCAGCTAAACATCTAAACCTAGACAGAAAACCCCGGAGAGCGGCCCACATTTGCAGACAGTGGTGGCGAGCTTCTGATATCTGGGTGGGGTGGGGCGGAGTTTGGGGTAAGGCAACATTTTAGGGGGAAAATATACTGAAGTGGCCCTAAATTGGCGTGGTCAGGCATCGCTCAAAATGAATGTATTGAAAGTGGTCCCGGGGAAGCCCCCGAAAAATATGACAATTTAGGGGTTTCAGAGGATAGATAGTCTACTAATATGTTTTTTTTTTCATTTATTTATTTGACATCAAACGGTCCAGGGGTTGCATCAGCAACAATGCGCCGTAGCACGAATGTGTCTGCAACCCCTGTACAAACAACAGATTACATAGTTAAAATTCAGATATTTACAAATTCAATAAAAACAATTCAAAGACCAACAAATTGAAAATACATATCATTTTCCCCGAAGAATTGTGGTTTTTCTTTCTTTTGGGTGTGGGGAGAAAAAAAAAGGGGGAACGAAAATTATCTGATCCCCCCCCCCCACCTTGTCCCTGCTAGCGCCATCTCAAAGTTTCGAATTGGAAGGCAAACTGTAATTCTTCACCATTCTTATTAATATCAATAAGATAAGATTATATAGGCACACACACACACACACACATATATATATACATATATATATATATATATATATATATATATATATATATATATATATATATATATATTATATATATATCTATATATGGACAACACTAATGTCCTTGATATATGTAATAAGACACAAAGATGAAGTAGGTAGCATTACCTTAGTTTATTTATATCTCTATTGTACAATTACATTACAAATAAGTATCTCTCCGGAGATCTCTTGTTGTCGTCAAATGCTTAGAAGTATCATATTGATCCCTGTTAATTGCCATGCATCAATGACTAGTGGTGTCCAATGCGCATGCACATGAGTGTGAAGATTAGTGCTTTAATCGGATTTGAATCCCGACAAAGCCTCAATCACTAGTTGGTTAAGGAGTCTACATAGACTGCAGA